TATCTATCTTAAAGATACACTGTCATTTAACCAGAAGTTATGGGCTCGAGACAGGATTTAGTAGGTGACATCCTTTAAGCTGTGTTATATGGGAGGTCAGATTAGATGATCATGATGAATCTGTGCAAAAGATTTCTCTCCCTGCCAGCCTCCCACATGTTTTTTTATCAGCTTTGTCTTTTCCCTTTACAAGTGAAACAATGAGTAGGACTTTCAGTGTGGGAGCAGTTTGGCCAAAGATGAGTTTTCTAACAGATTTCTGGCTGAGTACATGTGAGTAGCATTTGAACTTTCTTTACTTTTAACCTTTTCCAAGCACTTTCACTAGTTTTTGATGCTTTCTCTCTTCCCCACTAAACTACAGGTTTTTTCCTGCAAAATCCACACTGAAACCAACTACTTTTGTGACCTCTTTCAGCTAATTAAAGGAATATTTCATGCAGACTGGTGAATGTTCGAGATGCTCTCTCTTCTCTTGCCCCTTCTCCACTCTTTTTCCAGTGCTGCTGTTTCTCATGTCTGAAAAAGCTTCTAGATTCCAGATGGCTTTCGAACTTGAAATCAAAAATTGTAAGTGATGTTTATGCACAGCACTACATAAATGCTGAGTAATAATATAGCTGCCAGTTAAGATGATTTAGCTCCATTCACAAGCCCAAACTCATTTAACAATGGCTTATACTTGCTTTGACTGGCTGTAACGAACAGCCTGTGAGTACCATTGTCTACCATAAAATAAAAGGATGTCTTTTCTGAAACTCAGCAAGGTAGCATCTCTAATAGTTTGACTTTCATTTGTACTTTCAGAAATCTGCTTTTCTCTGTAAATTATCTTTTGAGTGCTGTGTCTATAATTGCTTTGTTCCATCAACAAGGAATCTTACATCATTTTGATGAGTGGCATCCTGAAAGGATGTGACACATGGAGTCAGATTTTCTTGGGCTAAGCTAAAGGTGGGCTGTTCTGTGTAAGGTCAGCCACCGTTGTATGAAAAATAAATGAACTGTAAAACAATGCTTAAAAAACAGATAATGATTGTTGTTTAAAATTCTCTAGCAGAAAACAGTTACTATGAGAGCACTTCAGAGTTTTTCTGAGATGCTGCCAGGCTTACCTAATCTGTCTTAGTTTCTCCACTTTATAATGAAATTACCTTCTTATCTTTGTAAAATGTGGATCTTTGTAAAATGAGCCCATATAAACCCATCATTAATTTACACAGTTCACCTAGTTTTTCTGATGCTGTTCTAAATGTTTTCAACCTTGAAATGAGAAATGGGCCTGGATCTGTATTCCTGTAGTTCTGCAATTGTCACTTAATTTCACTGGAGGAAATGGAGAATAGCATCATTTGTACTGCTGTTGCTGTACTTGTGAAAAATTGGCATGAGTGAGATCAAAATTCAGACCTATACATCTTTTTTGAAGTTTGAAATCCAAAGGTAAAATTTTCTCAAGTTCAGGTGCTTTGACTCAGCTCAGTGTAAGTTTTTGGCTTGAACCTCGACTTGGGTTTGAAACTGTGCCTATTCTTTGCTAGTTAAATGGAATGAGTTGACTGTAGTTAGCCTGATCCAATATAGCTGGTAACACATTCATATTTTAGAAAAGGTTGGCAAGCTTGTCTTGAATTTGTATTTGTTGAAGCTCGTGACTGTCCTCTCCAGAAGGAAGAAGCAATGATGAGATAGAAGATGCTGCCAGAGTTATGACCATATGAAAAATCCAAGCAAGAATAGTGTAAGGGAGGGCTTATCTTTAAACTGATAGCAGATGCAAAGGCTCAAAACTGGCTGGCTTGTGGCTTGGTATGCAGGATGAGAGAGAGAGAAGTTAACAGACAGCTGGAGAAATGCAGTAAATACCTCCCAAAGGGAAACCAAGCAAAGCAACTTCTTTGTATATTGTGGATATGATGATGAAGGAACCTACCTCCTTCGGTCTTGGTCTTCTGTGCTCCTGTTGCTTGTGAAAGGAAAGCAGGATCATGTCTGGGGCAATCATGCTTACTTATGCATAGCTGGCATTTTTTGGTCAATATATCCTCTTAATAGAAATAACCCCAAAAGGCCTTGAGTATCAACTCAATGTTTGGACAAAGAGGCAACAGTTTTTAAATATAGAACTTTTGTAGGTGTGTGTTATGTTTCCTAGGGAGAATAGACCCAAACCCAATATCTAAAAGTGTTCCTTTTTTATGGAGGGGTTGAGGAAAGGAAGAGATGTTGGCTTTCAGGTTGCTGTTATTTTCTGACTGCCTGATTTTCTCTCTTCTGACTCCTTTTACATAATTATGATCCAGTTCTGCTCCCTTTGGAATTCATGGCAGCATTCCCACTGACAGCAGTGGGATGGAGGTATTTTTGGCTCTGGGCATTTTAATCCTGATGCCCTGGCAAAATTCCAATACATGTAATTATGTTCTGGCAAGCTGAATTCTACCTTTATTAATTTTATTAATTATTTGTGTTTGCATAGCACCTAGAAATTCTAGTCAGTCATGACGCTAAGAACTTTACTATCACGCAACAATTGTATGTGCCCATAGCACTGGAATTATTTTGCCTGAAAGATGGACACATGGAAGATGGCATTCAGTTTTTGCTTAGTAGATAGAATGGAGTCTAACTGCAAGTAATCTTTTACAGAAAGCCATGGAGGCATATTTTCAGATTGTGTCTGTATTGTGCTATGATTTGCACTATAGAGATACCTGCACTAGCCAGTAGTTTAGCAGTGAGGTTTCCGTAGAGTCACGAAATATGCACTGTGGATGTACTTATCATTGCAATTTGCTTTTAAAAAAAACAACCACAAGAAAAACAAAGGGAAAAAAAAAGCCCCAAAACCCCCACATGTTGGGAACAGGGATTATATGTTTGGTTGTATGTTGCATACTTCTGTGTTTGGATTTCTAAACAATTACAGGTACAGAAAGAAAAATGTTTTTCTGATTTCAGCAATAAAATTGGTTCTTCTATTTAATGACTAACTGCAAAGTACTGAACAGAGCTGCGGAGAAATTATTAAGGACTTTGTCAATATGAATTTTCCTTTTGCATCACAAGGATGTTTCAAACTGTTAAATAAATTTAATGTGCAAAATTTGCAATGACTGAGGCTGTTATGAATTGCTATGCTATTAGCAACCAGGCAACAATCATAGTAACTACCATTCTCTAGTGGTTTTTCTTGAATCTAATCGAGAGATTTTTCTTTGAAACTCATACAAACACAAACACCGGGATCAATATATTGTTTTTCTAATTTATTTTTTAAAAGCAAATATTCTATAGGTCATGTCTGTGTGTCACAAGGATGCTTACTAAGCTTGAAAGGCTTAAAATAGGCCAGTGAATTCCCTCCAGATGGGCAGAAGCCAACCCACCCTCCTGAAGCCTGGATGACTCCCTGGGAAGTGTCTTGGCATTTCTGGCCTTACCTTAACCATACTTGCAGGGAATGTGATTTGTACGATATGTTGAGCCAGAACACTCAGAGAAAGTAGTAATATTTATATTTGTATATTCTATTATGCTAATTGAGCTGAATTAAGCTGAAAAAACCTAGGATTGTAAAAAATCATGGATTTGAATCATTACTAGATGATATGGCCTTTTCAATGTAGCTTGTACTTTTTATACCATCTTTAGGTTAAAAAAAAAATTATTCATTTTGTAAATGTCATGTTAGAAATGTGCACATCACTGAGCTGGTAGCACCTGTTCCTGTGACCTGAACATCACAGGAGACTTGTAATGTTATCAGTGTTGCTATGCTACAGAGGGGCGTTTCACTGCTAGAGATGTTGCTTTTTGGTGTCATAGGGGCACTGTCGGAGTAGAAAATAAAATACCCCTGGCTAAAAATTTGCTGGTTAGGAATGCAGGCATATGCTAGTAAAACCTGTATGAGGCATTTATGATTTTTGTCTGTATAAATATGCTTGCTTGCATGTTCTTTCTCTGTTACTAGAGTTAAGCTTCATAAAACTTGTGTTGATATGTCTAAATATGTATCTCTTAGGCAGTTCAAGTAAGCTGTGTTTAACCCTATCGGAGCTTTGAAGGAAAAAACAACCACTTCTTTGTTAGCTGAGACTTCTGTAGCTTCTCTTCTTCTGGCAGACATGTATGTGAAATATCCCATATTTTGTCATGCCCGTATCCTTGCCTGAAGAATGGGTGTGTAGTATGCATTGAAATCTCAACTAATAAAGCAATCCAAAATTTTGCAGCTTCACTTCTTAAAAAAATAAAATTATGTCCAGTTATTTTAGAAAGCTCTAAAAGTGACTTTTATCAATATACTTTCAAAGAACTCCCCCAATAATTCCAATAATATTATGCACAGTTTAAATAAAACAGAAAAGCATTTTTATTCAGATTCTCATGACTGAAGTCATTTGAGTTACATCTTTTTACAGAAACTGAAGACCCGTGCATTTGACAATTCAATTCATATGTCTATACCTGTGTGAGTGTGTTTGTGTGTTAGAGAAAGGGATACCTGTAACAGTGAAGTTGTCTGTATCATAGCATATATGCACACATTTCTGACAGATACTTCATCCTTGGAAATGTTGAAAGCTGAATGCTGATAACATATTTATAGTACAGTATATAGTGTTTACTAGACTATAATAATAGTCTAGTAAATAAAATAAATAGACTATTTATTAGTCTATTTACTAGATAGTAAATTTAGTAAATATTAGTCTACTTACTAAATATAATGATTGTTATTTTACTGAATGTCAGAGATGCATTCAGATGTTATATAAAATGTATGGTCTGGATCCAGTTCATAGCTATATGCATGTGATCACAGCATATATATGGTCTTTTTGATCTGTTATCAGCATATTATTAAACAGAACTGGTTTCTGATTGTATAGCCAGTGATTATTTATCTGAATATAAAGTATGAATGGAAAGCATGAGTTGTACTCATTGTATCTGTGTTTCTAACTACTTCACTCTGCTCTTTTTAATTTGAGGTTGCCTTTGCCTCCTGGAGCATTCTCAGGCCTTTGGGAAAATCAGGAAACATTCCAGAAGTTATTTTTCCAAAAATTTCCAGTAAGAATTACAAAATTAATTGTATAAACTTTTGGTAATCCTGCAGAACTTAACGGTAGTAGATTTAAACTGGATAACATACAAAATTATCATAGCTCATTTTAATGGGAGATTTTTGATATATGTGTTACAGAATTAAAAACAATTCAAGGTAAAACTTTCTTCATACATACTTTAAGCTTTTGGGCACACTGGTTCTTTTTAAGATCTGAAACAGAAGAAGTAAACCTCAAGCTTCTGAACATAAAAGTTGGTTTATGTCATTTGATCTAATAAAAGATAGAAGCCTTGCAACCTTAGACTAGCATAGCTTCAAATGTACTACTGCTGTTGACATGCAGTCATTCTAACTTAGCATCAGTCCAAAATATACACTTGCCCACTGTGCATGTAAATACATTGGAGGCTCCTTAATAATAATAATACTGAATTAGGTATGTTTCCTTGTCAGATGAACTATCCAAGGACTGGCTTCCTCCTTTCCTTACAGAAATTGATAGATTGGTCCTATGTGAATGTCCAAAATGGAAGGTTTGGTTCAATAAAAGTGAATGAGTGAATTGATCAGGCAAATTATTTTTTGTGTGCACTTGTATCATGAAGATGATGATGTATGTTTGGATCCAGCAAACGGGAATATCTTTAGGGGCAATTTGATAACTGTCATTGTATTGTAACAATTCCATTCTCCTTGTGTAGATTCAGGCAACATCCTTCTCCAAGCTGTCAGGGGTCAAAGAAAGCAGAGTGGGAAAAAATCCAGGTTTATGTATTGTCTTCTGTTCTGTCTTAACAAAGACTACAAAACCTTTTTTGGAAAGGGAGCTGCACGGTATATTATGACATAAGAATGGTGAAAAATATTAGATAATTAAATTTCTCAGGCACCAAAACGTATTTCATTTGAAACAATCAGTTTTGGTTGTTGGTTGGATGTTCCTAGTACTATTTCTGAGTTTATTTTTGGTTGTGTTGTGTCTAGGGATATTATGATACTATGGATGCAGGTTATATGGATGAAGATGGCTACTTATATGTCCTGTCTCGAGCTGATGATGTGATCAATGTTGCCGGACACAGAATTTCAGCAGGCGCGATTGAAGAGGTGAGCATTGCCTGACAGTAAAAGAGAAGACTGAAAGATGAATAAAGAAAGCTGAGACTGAAAATCTTACAAAACCTCTCATTTTCTTTCTGCTTTTTTTGATTGCATTTGCGTTGGTACTTTTAACAAAAACATTGTTTCAGGTCCTTCCTATTAAGGTGTTTTCCATGACCATAATAAACTTATTCAACAATAAGCAGTTTGTACCATGGGATTGATAAAACAGGCGTGATTTGACATTTGAAGGTGGAGTTAAGGGGCACTATGGAAGCATGGGAAGCATTCCTGTAAGCTCTGGTAACATATTTGTTTGGGAATACATTCAGTGCTTTTTCTTGATTTGAAGAGTTTCCTTCACAGCTTTTTGAGAGCTGTTTTGTCTCTTATTGTATGAGCAGTGCTAAATGAACAATGAAAATTTCTGTAAAAAACCCTGCTGTTAAATTGAAAGTCATTAATGTAATACCCATGCAACTCAAAAAGTTGAAAATAGTGCAGTTCATAATAGTATCTGAATTTCGTATCACTGTTCACTGACCTCTCTGGAACTGCTGTGATTGACTGCCAGTTACAAATTTCCCTGATGACATATCAATTGCTTATTCAGGGAGTATAGGAAAAGGTGTGCTGGGCATGTACAAGGGAAAAATGCACTTTTAAGAACTCTGAATTTAACTGTTCACTGAATCACAAACTAATCTGTTAGTCATTTTTTGCTTTATAATGTCTATTAGTCTAGTGACTATTTTTTTAAGGGCTAGAAAACTTAGAATAGAAGAAATTCTGATTACACAGAAGTGAACAAATTCAAATAAACATAGGCAATCCTTTGAGGATCGGTCAGCCAGGGAGCTGAACCAGTCCCTGCCCTGACTTGGGTCTATGAAGCCATAAAGGTGGCTTTCAGTCCGCTTAAACCTCTTTCCCTTTGAAGTCAGTTTTTTGTGTTGCTCTACTAAAGCGCAGCAGGGAATCTCATCCCCACCCCTTACTGCTTTACGGCTCAAGGGCTGAGCTGGGCACTGTTTCTTCGCTTCAGGCTGAATCTGAAGCTAGTATAACAAATGATGAATTGAATCACCTCCTTAGCTGTATTACCTTTGTATCCATCGTCCTGAGCTCAGTGTCTCTGTTTTTCTCCCTGCTCGTTAGGTCTTTCCCCTAGAAACAAAATACGTTTCATCACTAGGAAATTCTAAAAGCTTTTCTATTCACTTTTTGAACAAAGCTAAAAAACAAAAGTGTTGTTAATGCATGCACAGCAAATTGCTAGTTAAATGGGAAAGCATTAACAAGACCACAATTAGCTCTTCAGTAAGATCAGTAAACACAGAATTAGAGGTTCATTGAATCGCCATCTAATTAAGGGACAGTCACCTTGTTGAGCAAGTATATTATCTGCATTTACATTATAGCTGCATGACAAGCTTAACAAGCTTTTCCTTAGTGCTTTGACTAAGAATTTCAGCTCCATTATGTTCCAAACAATTAGTTTCTTTGTCTAAGGTATCTATTAGTATCATTGGGGCTCCATCTTCACTACAGTGCAGTAGGTGTTACTGTTTACTTTGCCAGTCAGTGAATGTTAGCCATTATGGTAACCTCAGCTTGTGCTGATCCATCCATCTCTTTTGTCTGTACATCTATGGTGTCCCTGCCTGCCTTGACTCTTTCTGAAAAAGCCCAAATCAAATCTTGCCTATCTGAGGCAACAGACTTGAAATCGAGGAATTTAGTATGATCTAAATCCTCTTCCTGATGGTGGGGTTTCTGTCTGCTGCCGCATTAGATGTCCATCCTTGTGCCCAGTGATCATTCCAGGAATGTCATTTCACTTTCTTGAGATTTTTCTTACTTTTAAACAATTCTAAAATGTCTAGTGCTGATTCTATTCTTCTTTTCAGCTGTTTTACAAAGTTCGATAATTTTAAAGTTAGTATTGACACTTTCAATCATTTGAAATTAGCTGTCCCAAAGTCAAAGGTATGTTGATAGGATTTTGGATAGATTAGTGAGGAAAAATATTACAGTGACTGCAATATTCCAGCTTAACGTAAGACTTTTAAGAACAAGTGACAGACTGGACTGATATAAAGAAGCTACTACAAAACAAGCTGGCAACGCATAAATCTCCACCATAGGGGTCCTGTTGATGCCTGATAGGTAATTGTGGTATTGATGGTAATGTCAGGTTACTGCAGACCTTTTTCCTGTGTTTTTGTGGAAAGCACAGTTCCTCTGGTTGTAGACCTTACTAGTCTGCTTTTCCATAATTCATTGCATTTTCTTCTTTTTCTTTTGTTTTTTTCTATGGCAATCAAGTTGCTGTGGTCAGGATCGAGAGGTCAGAGCAGGAAAGAATGGGTATTTATAGCAGGAAATGGAATGCATTATTGAGGCTCTGGACTAGAAGTGGCTGAAGCTCATAGATGTATATATGTGATGCATTGAAATACCATGGAGATTTGGAGTTGCGTAAGATTCATTCCTGTATGATTTTTCAGTTTGGATACAATGACTTCTGGACAAAGTAGACTGCATCTGAATTCAAATGCACCTGTGTATATCTAGCTTCAGCATTTTTGCAGCAGGCTCTTTGGCCCTTCTAGTTCTGGGATGAGCCTAACCAGAACTAACTCCAGGCTGTTGCACTTGCTGTTCTAGATACGGCTTGTGCACATCCCATTTCATTACTGTGAAAAATCGACAGTTTCAAAGGGTGTGTGTAAACGGTCGTGCTTTTGTACTTTGATAGAGCATGCATCTAATATTAAGCTAAGTATTTCCCATTTGCTCTTTTGTAGAATGGGACATTTCTGGGATCATAGTTTGTGAAGTGAGTATAGCTTCTGTCAAACAAAGTATGCAAGAAACACTGTGCAGATTTATTTTGCTAAAAACTACTTGGTGTGTGTTGTAGTGACCGTGGCACAGACAGCCAGTTTCTCCTTCCTGGTTTGACTACAAATCTTAAGGATGGTGAAATCTGCATTTAGGATGGGTTATGGGAGACCCTTTGAATTGTTCCTTCCACCATCGGTTTCACATCCAGGTCGTACAAGAGCCTCCCTTTTGTTAATTGGAACAGCAGTGATTCAGCTTTTCCTTCCTTCAGTTTTTTTTCTCCTGTCTTCTCTGTACCTTTCCTGTCGTCTTCCTCATGCTCATGCCATTGTATGAGTAGCCAATGCAAATGTGGTATTCCTACTTTAAAAAAAAAAAAGCCTTTATTCTTAAAACTTCTTTTAGTTAGTCTTCCTTTCAGTCATCCCACTGCCTTTGATTTTGACAACACAGTATGTGAAGATCTGTTACTGGCAAACGTATAGTCCTTGTATGCACAAAGAAATTAATATGCATGGTCACATTATGTGACCTCTGTGTGGCCTTTGTGTAGGGTCACGTTAGGTCCTCTTTGTGGCTGAGTACAGAGGATATGTTGAAAACACTGTTGACAGCAAGATACCCCAAGGGATGCTGATAACTACATGAAAAGAGCCAGTTGCTTTGGAAGAGGATTCACAACTGCTGGTATCTTAAGTCCAACTTTGTCCCAGACTTAGTACACACTTCTCAGTATGTACTGAGACATCTTGGTGACTTCTTTCCAGGAAGTGAGAACCTCAGCTGGCTAATTGGAAAGAAAAGAGAATCTCTCACTTTTATCCCTAAAAGAGAGTTTGAGATATTAGTACTACTGTCCATCACTTGTATAATTGTGCAAACGTGTAGTAGGAAGGAGGGGACTCTAGTTTAATTCCCTTTTTTGTCTAAGGAGGATGAGACCTAATGTTTCCAAGAGAGTGAGCTGGCTGCAAGCTGAAGTTGGGCCTGTATTTGGCTTTGGTTGAAACTATGCCTTTGTGCAGCAAAGAATGAAAAGGATAGAAGGAGCCAGAGAGAATGAACCAATATGACTTTATAGCCCTGTAGTAGGAGTGCCTCTGTGGTTTTGGTCCTTACTCCATGCGCTTAACTCCATGTTATTCGTAATGTTAGACTAATGTTATTTATTCCAGCAAAGTTCTCACTAACAAAAACAAAGATGCGATACTCTCCCAAAGCTGTAAGGAGATCACCTTTGCTTTGTTCTATATTTGTACCTTGTGCTGCCATAGTTTTTATTTCTTATGTTTGTTTGAAAACTACACGTAAGTGTGTATGAAAGTATACACACATGTGCATCTGCAACATGTGTAATTGGAATCCTGAGGTGTACTGACTAAATACTTTTTGCTGTCAAAACGTAAGAAATAAGTCTATTTTTTATGCCCATGCCTATGGAATTTTTTCACTGAAATGTTCAGTTTTTATTAGTTCAGTTTAGTTTTGTTTTCTGTCCCGCAGTGTGTTCTCTTCCATCACGCTGTGGCAGACTGTGCTGTTGTGGGCCAGGAGGATCCTTTAAAAGGACATGTTCCATTTGCACTGTGTGTACTGAGAGAAGGTGAGATCTCGCTGCTACTGATGTTACTAAGACTTGCAAAAGTCCCAGAAAGTTTAAAGGATATGAACTTCTTCACTAGGTATAAAGACAGAAGAGGAGAAGATTCTGGAAGAGATTGTCGAGCGAGTTAGAACTAACATTGGTCCAGTAGCAGCTTTCCAGAAGGGAGTGTTTGTGAAACAGCTACCAAAAACACGCTCTGGCAAGATACCACGTTCAGCTCTTTCTGCGCTTGTCAGTGGAAAGCCATATAAGGTAAGTTGGAGATGTATGCTTTAATGAATTAGGCACACGTGCACATCCAAAGACACAACATCATGGTTTCGATTCTCTAGACCATTCTGCAACTGGTCCATGACATCAGGTAGTACATTATGTTTTATTTCTACTGTGTCTTACCCAAAGGATTTTCACGTTCCAGAGCTTTCCAGATGCTTTTTTCTTGATTGCTTTTGAAGGCTAGATTTAGAAGATTTTCTGAATGAAGTTCTGTCTTACTGTTGAATAACAGCAATCTGCTATCACGTGCTTCTGTATATTCTTCCTTTTCAGATAACACCGACCATTGAAGATGCTAGCATGTTTAAACACATTGAAGAAGTGCTAAGGAAAAATTAAATGGGGTAATAGGTTGATAACAAACATGTCAGTTACTGAAGTATACAAAGAGACTTTCTGTTAGAAAATACCACATTTTAAAAACTAGTGATGATTTGGGACTAAATTTTTTTACTTCAGAAATGTTACTGTGTTCTTTACCGTATTGTCACAGCCAATGAAGCGTATGGAAGTCTCTGGATGTTGTCATTATATGGTGGATATTAAGATTGCTAAGAATTGCAAATAGAATTCATACATTTATATAGCCTTAAAGTGAAGGAGTGACTGGATTATCTCATATGATGTCATGTAACCTTACATTTCAATCCATTATTCTATGGTGTGACCAGTAACTTGAGTTGCTAAAACAGCTCACAAAAGGTAAGTCATGAACTGAGGACAGCAATAAATAGGAATTCTAATATGAAAATTATTGCAGACGTAAATTGTCAACAAAAAAGTCCTTTCTAAATTATGAACCTTTATGTCTTTTAAATTTTTATAAGTTTTAAAATTTTTAAATTAGTTTTCTTGAGTCCATTGATCTTTTTTTCTAAGTCTTTCTGCTATAAATTAGATTCCTTTAATTTTTTTACTCAATAACTTTCTGAAGTGTCTTTTTTGTACAATGATAGATAATTTCTGGCTTTCAAATCTGTGAAAATCTTGATTTGTCCATGGTAATATTCAATAAAAAACATGTATTTTAAATAAAGGCAGGCATTTACCCTTTGCATTTTCTGGTAATTTTGTTGTTGTGGTTTGTATCACTTATGATGAGGATAACCAGAATGTGCTTTTGCTGACATAATTAGACGCTTCAGGCTCGCTGAGATATATATATAACCAAGAAATTTAGCAAATACAGATACTAGGCAGCCCATTCTTGACTTTATAGGCTGTTTCAGAATACTTACAGTGTTCTCAACAAACCAGGGGATGGAGGATATGATCTCTAAATGCATTACTTCTCAAGCTGCAGGGTTTTAACGGAACAATAAATGTAAAATTCCTCTTAAAAATATACGTTCACAGAGCAGTTTAAAAGCAGGGAAGTTACTCAAACTCAGCAGTGCTTTCCAGAGGAAGAAACAGTAAGCAATACACAAATTCAGATGATGTTGATATAAAAGAGAGATTCCGTACTTAGGCTAAGCTAAGGTAGAAGTTAAGTCTAGACATATTTTGCTATGGCCATGTGTCCTCAAGAGTCCAGAAATACTGTTATCTCCTATTTGGGTAGGAGTATGATGGATGATAGCACTGCTAAGTGATAAAATAAACCAGCAGATTGATGTAGGAGCTAAAAGGTGGTAGATAGGTGCTAATTAACATGAGCTGCACCCTGATGTTGCCTTGTGCCTGTGACCTTTTCGTAGAGTCAATGAGCTCTACCAGTGCCATAGGAAATAAAAAGTCCATGTGTTTTTTCACTAGAGACTGCATGCAGCTGAGCCGACCGTGTTGAACCAGGTCATAAAGTCATATAATAAAACAGCCTAGTTTCAATCTGTGCTGTACTTGTTTTCTGCCAAATAATTGCATAAGGTAGCTGCCCTGCTCAGCTATTTGATTTAGTTGAAAAATCACAATCTGAACAGGGAGTCAAAGCATTTAAAGTCTGAGTAAAGGCTAATGATGCTTTATGGTAGATATACTAACTATACAGGTTAGCGATTTATATGTGGGAGTAATTTTGCTCCTTAGAGATGTATGAGATTCAACAAGGCCAAGTGCCGGGTCCTGCACTTCGGCCACAACAACCCCATGCAGCGCTACAGGCTTGGGGAAGAGTGGCTGGAAAGCTGCCTGTTGGAAAAGGACCTGGGGGT